GTTCTTGGGCTACAAGATTGCTTTTTCTTGATTTGAAAGGAATATTTTTTTACAATTTTCAAGAAAAAAGAAAGATGGGTCTTTGATATTTTCTTAATCTTGGTTTAAGGTTGATGCACAATAAAAATCTGAATTTCCGGGTAAAGAGTCATTCTTCTATTGTGATAGTAAGCAATTAATATGATGTTTGTAGCGTGTGAATGTTCTACTTTTTAACTAATCTTGGAGCTAGCAAATTTCATATGTTAAGTTCTTGGTTAGTGATATTAAGTTTTCATGGGAAGTGGATAGGGAATAGTTTCAGGACCCTTGCGAGTTGTGAGTATTCATTCTGTAATACTGTTACATGTGCACATAATTATTGTGGGTTAAGTTAATATTTCTCTTTTGTTAAGACTAGATTATGACATTGTAGAAATCAAAATATTCCTGTTTAGTTGTGTTAACATCTTGTTAGTCCCCGTCACTCTGCAGACATGGATAAGAAGCATCTATGTGCTGCTCTTCTTTTATGGGCCATTGCTTGCTCTGCACTTCCTGCTTCCTCTGGTGATTTGTTTAGAATTGGTTTGAAGAAGCACCGCTTGGATGTTGATAGCATAAAAGCTGCAAGAGTAGCCAAACTACAAGATAGATATGGGAAGCATGTGAATGGCATTGAAAAGAAATCGAGTGACTCAGATATCTATAAAGTCCCCTTAAAGAACTACTTGGATGCCCAATACTATGGAGAGATTGGTATTGGTTCACCTCCACAGAAATTCAAAGTTATCTTTGATACTGGGAGTTCTAACCTCTGGGTTCCATCATCGAAATGCTATTTCTCTGTAAGTTATTGTGCTCATTGTTGTTAAGTTAGTTATCCCTTCACTCGTTTATCAGAATTTCTTCCTTAAATTTTTAATAATGCTCTCAGATTGCATGCTGGATCCACTCTAAGTACCAGGCAAGCAAATCCAGTACATATACAAGAGATGGTGATCATCATGCTTCTTTGTAACTAATAATCTTTGTTCTCTGGTCATATTTATTGTTCACCAAGTAATTTCATTTTTCATTTCAAGTCGCAGTTCCAGCTTGATATGTATGTCTTTTTCTGATTGTATTTTGCTGCCTGTTATGATCTAGGGGAATCTTGTTCAATCCGTTATGGAACTGGATCTATTTCTGGCCATTTCAGTATGGACAATGTTCAAGTTGGTGATCTTGTAGTTAAAGATCAGGTGACTTCTAGTGTGGCTACTGGTTCTCGACATACCATGGTATGATCCTTCCTGTTTCCAAATGATGACAATTCTGCATCAATTTTTCAGGTGTTTATTGAGGCGACACGAGAACCTAGTATTACATTTATTGTTGCAAAGTTTGATGGTATACTAGGCCTTGGTTTCCAGGAAATTTCTGTTGGAAATACTACACCTGTCTGGTAGTTTTTCCTATTTTAGGCGTTTACTTCAGTTGTACCATTTATTTCTTGTTCATTTTCTTTTCAGCTTCGTGGAGTCTGCTTGTCTTGTAGGTACAATATGGTGGGGCAAGGTCTTGTCAAAGAACCCGTCTTCTCTTTCTGGTTTAACCGTGATGCAAATGCAAAAGAGGGAGGTGAACTTGTTTTTGGTGGAGTTGATCCAAAGCACTTCAAGGGTAATCATACTTGTGTTCCGTTGACTCAGAAGGGCTACTGGCAGGTACTTGAACGTTTTTTCATTTCCTCAGTTCTTCTACATCTTAGATGCTGGTTTTTGGAGGGGGGAGAAGGTTGGTGGTGCGATCTAAAAGCAGCTCATTTGTTATGCTATCCTCCAATTATTTTCCTTTGCCTTTTTCAGTTTAATATGGGAGATTTCCTTATCGGGAACACATCAACTGGTGAGTATTCCCCATCTAATCCCATGTAATCATCTACAGAATTGCTAACAGAGCATAGATCATCACATGCAAGAAATGGAGATTGCCCTCAAGTTTGTTTATTGGAAAAGATAATTCTAAGTCTACTTCTTTGAGGCAGTACCTTACTGTTATCCAGTTTTCATGAGTTATACACAGACTACTACCCTGTAGGTTTATATAAGTTATCCATGCGCCATGGCCAAAAGCAAACTAAGTACCATTCGGGATAAGGTATACCATCTATCTAACACAGTTAATGAGTGTTTTAAGTTCTGGTCATGTTTTCCTGTTTCAGGTTATTGTGCAGGTGGTTGTGCTGCTATTGTGGATTCTGGAACATCACTGCTTGCTGGTCCAACAGTATGTTCTGTTATCTCTAACTTACTCGGGTTGTAGACTTTTAGACTACCTCTTTATTTAAAATAATACTTGTAACTTATGGCATATCTACTTCAGACCATCGTGACACAAATCAACCATGCCATTGGAGCAGAAGGAATAGTTAGCATGGAATGTAAAACTATTGTTTCACAGTATGGAGAGATGATCTGGGACTTACTAGTATCAGGGGTCTGTTCCTTTTCCCTCTTGTTTATTTCACATTTCAGTGTGCTTCTGATAAGACGTTATTGTGGTCTGCAGATAAGACCTGATCAAGTTTGTTCACAAGCAGGTTTATGCTTTCTTGATGGATCTCAGCATGTGAGGTACAACCCCACCTTCTAATTTTAATTGCTCTTCCTGGTATGGCGTAGTTAAACTTGAAGTTCATGTCATTGAGGAGGCTTTAGTAAAAGTGTTGAGCGGATAAAAAAAGTATGAACTACTTCCTGTATTTGAGAAATTACTGTTATGATTACAAATAAGCACAGAAAATTCAAGAGAGCTTCCAGAGTTCTTGAAAAAATTATTATGTGAGCCTCAAGTATTATCTGATTTCCACACTCTCTGTCATCTGATTTTTGAATGCTCAGCATGATCTGTTAGACCTGAAAGGTAGGATTTGCTAATCCAACCGTATACAATGAGCATAAAGTTTTGAAAATGTTGGTTTATCACTTAGGCTCCAGATTTGCTATGCCAGATGTAAGTCAACTAATGAACCAAATTCCTTGCAGCTCTAATATCAGAACTGTAGTTGAAAGGGAAACTGAAGGAAGTTCTGTTGGTGAAGCACCACTGTGCACTGCCTGTGAGATGGCAGTTGTTTGGATGCAAAACCAGCTCAAACAAGAGCAGACAAAAGAGAAAGTGTTAGAGTATGTGAATCAGGTAAAGTGACAGCTTTACCTGATGTCCAATAAATAGTATATCAAATCGTCCTAATATTAAAGCTTTGATGTTTTACAGCTTTGTGAGAAAATACCAAGTCCAATGGGAGAATCTGCGATTGACTGTAACCGCATCTCATCCATGCCAGATATTACATTCACTATCAAAGATACAGCCTTTGTGCTCACTCCAGAACAGGTTTCACTCCACGCATTTTTAGTTCGTGTTCTTACATTGATTACTCGAGTACATTGAAATTTACATATGTGGTATATAATCTTGATTTTGCACCCTGAGTTGTCATTTCACTCACTAGACAATTGGGAAAGAACTACCTATTTGCTTAAATAGTAATTATACCCTGAACTCTGACATTATTTGCTTAAATAATAATTATACCCTCAACTCTAAAGTCTGAATGACTCATGAAAAATAAACTAAAGGACAAAGTAGCTGCATTCACTGAATTGCTGAAACATAAAACATAGTCGGTGAGAGGCTGCTCCATTGTTGTATCAAATATTTATTTACTTCATTTTGGTCAGTATCTGGAGAGGAGGAGGTGTTTCACTGTCTTATTTGCTATGAAATAGAAAGTAATTTCTGGAATTATATGGTAGTCAAGTACTACTAATATTATGATATTTAAGCTAAAAGATATATTGTACTAATATTTTGATGCATCTACTAGCAAGAACATGTCACTGAACCCCCTTGCTATAATAAAGTAGTTTGGAAACAATACCTTAACTGTTTATATCCAACGAGCTTGAATTCAGGTAAGGCTACATTAAATATTAGTCAAAGAAAAATTTGGTATTTAGAAAGAGATGATTGGGAGAACAAGATTGTAAAAAAGGAGAGAAACAAGAATCTTGACTTGCAACAAACGAACAACTTCACTTCGTAAGACAGAATGTGATCGATTAAGATCAACTGCTGCCAATGAACTTGATGTGTAACATTTGTTATGAAATGCCTTTGATACACCTGATAACTAAAAATTTTGGTTGACAGTATATTCTTAAAACTGGAGAAGGGGTTGCTACAATTTGTGTCAGTGGATTTGCTGCTCTGGATGTGCCACCACCTCGCGGTCCTCTTTGGTATGTTATCCTTGCACTTACAAGCATCAATGGATCAATGTTGACTACATTCATACTACTACATTACTCTAAGCAAAAGCTACAGAAATCATGTTTCATACAAACACGCCACTTTCTATTTCGTCATGTAGCTAATATTATGTTGCTGCTGTCCTAAAAAGATATTCATATATGTGGTTGCAGGATTCTTGGAGATGTATTCATGGGGCCGTATCACACTGTCTTTGACTATGGTAAATCCCAAGTGGGTTTTGCTGAAGCTGCATAATAGCCTTTAATGTAATTACACGCCACAGTTACTTTCGTAAAATGGGGGAAGTATTGTAAAGAGATGAATGAAATTGCTACTGCTATATGATTGTGTTGTATCTTACTATAATATGGCACACTAGTCGCCTTTTTCTTGACTACTTCAGGTGCTACTTACTTCACCTTGTGCATGTCTAAATAATATATGCTCAGTTGCAGTAGTAATCACTTGCTCCCACTATTAAGTAGAGTTTTAAAGATGTAAGATACCTGCATCAAATTCTAGCGTTTGATGCAAGGAATTAGTCTATGCTTTGGATCAATTAGGCCTTAAGAGGACACGACATATTTGACACTGATGGTATCTAGTACTCCAAACGGTCTACTTGTTTTACATGTTTTAGAACAATTAGTCAATCCACTATTGTCCTCTTAATTGTGCACACGTTGCACACACTTAGTGAAAGAGTCCAAGGGCAAAAATACAACGTAAAACACAAATTTACCTCATAAATCTCGTGTAACATGTTCAAAACCATAGAAATAGAGTATATGGTATCTATCTATCAAATCTCCTCGGGGAAAAACATCATCCAGTCATGACAGCAAATAAATGCTTAGAAAGGATTACAATGTACAACTCAACATAATACACCAACAGAAGAAAATGCATTCAGGTTCAGTATCTATCATTCATCAGTCTTCACCGACACCAGGCTTGTGTAGATGCACTGTTACTCCTCGTCACTTTCATTGCTGAAGACAGATGCAACAGTTACTACACGCACTGTTACTCCTCGTCACTTTCATTGCTGAAGACAGATGCAACAGTTACTTTTGGCTTCTTTGCAGATTTGTTAACCAAGGTCGTCACCTAACAGAGAAGGGGTAGGCAGAAGGAGGTCAGGATCAGCTACGAATCAACCAAATCATTTCCTAAAGAACCAAAGATTGATGAAAAGACAAATAAATTCACTTGTTTTCTTTTCCCATCCAGAAATGGGTAAATGACTACTTGAGTGCGTTTGAAGCATGCCTCTTCACATTAATAATTATCAGATGTCATCATCTTCTCCTCTTTCCAAGTAATTTTTTGACGGACAGCGGGAAGAGGCAACATATGCACCCCAAGACAGTTAACCAGGTAGTATATCTAACAATGTGTTCCACATAAATAAGAGGTTTGTGTACATGGAATTCCTACTTCCATATTATACTAGCGTAACTTATCTCACGAACAGCAATCATGATCCACTAGAAAATTCTTGTTTGACTTGCATATAGTTCTGCAGGATGTCACAACCAACTTAGCAAGTTCACATGGGAACAGAACAAATCAATTGAGTGCTCCCTTGTTTTGCACTCGAGGTGTGGCCTAGTGGGACAAGGAACACTAGGTGATTTCTTTTCATCTGAATAAGCGTTGGTGGGAAAATTTACCGGATACCTATGCAAGAGGGAGGTAGCAAGTACCCGGTGGAATAGTCCAGGTGCGTGCAAGCTGGCTTGGATGCCACATCATAAAAAGAAAAGGAATCAATTGGGTGATCCCTAGTTACACCCGTGAATTTCACTATATATCCATGCTTTAGCATCTTCTTTCTCTCTCAATAATTCTAATTATCTAAGGATTAGAAGTTTCTAATATCTCTTTGCCCTGATTTGGAAAATTAAAAAATTTATAAAGAGAGCAAACATAGCTGAGATAATCGGTAATCTAACTGTAAGTACCTTTGATGAGCCTCCTTTCGCAGAAAATCCGAACTTCAAAGTCTTCCTCTGATCTTGATCTGCTAGAGCAGTTGCAGTTCTAACCATGGAAGGGGCTGGAATATTTCCTGCTTCCTCTGGTGTTTGCTGTTCTTGCTGCTTCTTATTGGCAGCCCTAGTATAAGTAAAAGTAAAAACAGATCATCACAAGAAACATATACCACAATATCAGGAAATAGATGCAGAATGGCCTGAATGGATAATATCATACATTTGGGCGAATTTTGCCATCTCCCTCTCTTGACGTTGCTGTTCTCTTTTATGTCTATCGTCCCGGCTACTTCCATGCATTTCTCTCATTTCCTTGAAGCGCTACAATAGTAACAGAAGGTTAGATAACGCTTAATGGAGGAGGGGAATGAAGGTAATGAACTTTTTTTCTGAGGGATAACGATGAAGATAATATCAAAGAACTGGAAAATATTTTGAGATCTTAAGGAAAACAATTACCTTCCTGTGATTGTGATCATATGAACTTAGGTGAGCTTCAAACTCCATTGCTAATTTATATTGCTTGTTGCACAGCTCACAAAAGAAAGTCTTGCGTATTTCCTTCACGTCCGTTTCAATTTTGTGCTCGCGTTCTGCTAAAACCTGGATTTTCATAATGTGCAGGAAGCAGGCAGTAGAAGCCACCAGGTAATAAAAACTGCACGAAATTCTCAACATCTTCCAAAGTTGGTATCCCCTAATATACCATTCCCATCAAAAGACACACATATATGCAATATGCTGCCTTCTGTTATTAGATGTATGTTTCAGGAAAAGTAAAGTATCAAACTCAAATAGTCTAGTGCAACACATTTAATAGCTATCCTAAAAGTGTAAATGGCATACCTCCCGTTTTTTGGCAAGTTCTTCAGTCTCCTCTAGTTCAATATCAAGCTTACGTCTTTGAATATTTTCTTCTGCTGTAAAAAAATCATCTTCCTCTTGCTTTCCTATCCCCAACTTTGGGTCTCGCATCCCTGATTTTATTGGCTCAGTAATTCCTAGTCCCAAAAGGAAGAAATTAATCAAGACTAATTAATGCGCATGGATACATTACAGCAAATGTAACTTAAGAAGGTAGAAAGAAATATGTCAAGCAATTTTGAACAAGTAGCCTTACCTTGCTCATTTTTCCCAAGACCCTTCCCCTTCCAACCCATCTTCTGAAGAAGCCTGAATCCAATGTTAGAGGATGTCAACTGCGTATCTAAAGATGCTTGTTCCACATTTTCCAGGTCTACGTTTTCCGTTGGTCTATGATTAATAGGAAGGCGAAAATCCTCAGCGAGATCCTCTAGAACAGAAGCCTCATCAGCCTATGTTTCAAAAAGTTGAGACGCAACTTTGTTAATTAAAATAGCTGAATATCAAGATTTGTCCATGTTAGTAAAACTGCACAAGTCACAGAACATAACAGAGTTGAAATAAACCAAAATCCATAAGCATCTTTCGTTCCTTACAAATAAGTTGACTACGAAGGCACCGGTATTGTATCTAACTTCTCTCTACAATCCACCCACCCCTACCCCCCACCCCCCCCCAAAAAAAAAAAGGAAAAGGCTTGAGTTCTCCAGATTGCAAAAGAATCTTTATACTATTAGAATCATCCTAATTGAGTTTCTAAATAAAATTGAAGAGGAAGTAATATGAAAAGCCAATAAAGTGGAAATCAACGTGAGATCCGTGATGAATGAAGGAATTAGCCAAGTCATAAAGTAAGAACAATCAGCATTCTAGCTCATACCTCTTCCATTTCTTGCTGGCGTCTATCTCTCATGCGCATATCAGGCATACTATTGAACCATCTATCATCCATACCTATATGATAACGCTATTCACACAGAGCAAGCAACAAAGTTATTTACCAGTGTACAAAATAAAGAAATGTTGCACAGAAGTAAACAAAGTGAGGAAGTGGCAAAACTGAACCAAGTCTAAATTCCATAATGCTCAAAAGGCCACATGGTCCTTCTAACCATTTAATATAAGAAAAATCCGTGCATTCTAATAGTTAAGATGCTTTTGTATATCATAGAATGTTCCGACAAAATCATTTTCTAGTCTTTTCTACAGTTGAAATAAATAATTTCATCAGATAAGTATCTCAACTCATTGCCAACTGAAACAATGATTCAGAATATCGTTTCCTGGTTAAATCATTTTCACTAAACATTTTACGCTAATACTTAATCAATCAGATGGAATAGACCACAAATTCATTAAACAGTCAAAATCAGCAAACAGAACATTGCATAACAAAATACTCCTGTAAATTGTAAGATCCCAATGATATACCAGAAACCAAACACGGAATTCATTAGGTTCAGAAATCGGCACATCAGAAGAAAAAAAATAGGACTTTGTTCATATTTTCAACGTTAAAGAACAGAAATCGGAAGAAATAAACACGAATAACGAGAAGTAATTGGTACCTGATTGAAGGAATATCGGTTTCGTAGTAAGTGTTAGCTCCAGAATTGTGTGTAATTCAGGATTCAACTTTTGTTTGAGCGAAAGAGAAAGGGCAAGAATCTAGGGTTAAGCTCAACCAATAGGAACACAGTTGCCTCACTTGTGCCTTTGAGATTTTGCCACGTCGTTCATCTCACGGGTGTAATCTTTTCGGGTCGACCCAAATCCAACACCATTCTTTTTTCTTCTTTTTTTTTTTTTTAAAAAAAATTCTTTAATCTAATGATTCGTGAATTTAAGTGTTACACCATGGGAAATAATTAAAGGTTGTAGCTAAATAAGTTCAAAAGACATGAATGGACTTTTAATATGTATAACTTCTAGTTTATATTTGTTTGAGTTTTAATTTATATTATATAGGTGCTTCAAAATATTTTATTTTATTTTATTTAAATATTATAAAATTATTTTATATTAAAAATGCTTTAAAAATAAGTTGATTCAAATAAATTTCTGATATGACGTTCTTTGTTTTGCTTTTTCTCTTCTTGTGTTACTGTTGCGCATCAAAAATGTAGAAAGTTACTTGTCAATTCAGGCATCTAACATAAAGATAGAATTAGAAGTTTATAAATTTGATTTATGTTTTAATGATATTTCAAAAGATATTTTTAAACAATACTATATCCTCCATTATATTTATTGTAAAATAATACACATGAATTTTTGATTGTTATCAAAAAATGTTCACGAATTTGGAGATATCTCTAAAGACAAATAACTTTTACGTACAATCGTATATTGTAATTTATTATTAATGCGATTTCATCTAATTATATTCTGCACTAGAAATTAAAAAGAGTAAATTAACTTTCAAGAATAAAATAAAGTGCGACATACAAGAAAATTGATAGTTTTAACTAAGACTAATCAAAATGATGTTGGTAGGATGCCCATCTAGAAATTGAAATTTCCTGTGAATTGCACGCAATTCATGCCAAACATGCTAACTACCATTGATATGCAAAAGTTTATACGATTCTTAAAGAAATTTATTAAATTGAAGTGCTAATTAATTAAACTATAAAAGATTAAAGCCAAGGTTGATGCCCAATCCTCATTATATTGTGTTGGTGGTGTGGTCCAAAAATTGGCATTTGCATACAAAAGGGGATATTTGTTTATCGACTTTTTTCTTTTGGAGTAAGATTTGTTGTAGGATTGTAGCTTATAAGGCACAACTCTAATCATTATCTACTTGTATAAAATATGAAAAAAGTATCACTTTTTAAGATTAAACAAATAATTATAGATATGAACAAGACCAAATGAGACTGTATCGAAATCCCATAGAGGGATTGATGGACCCCTTCTAAAACCTTTAATCATGTAGCAACACTAATCCTAAATGTTACAAGGAATATATGAAAATGAAAAATAGCCCCTTTTTTTTATTACATTCAATTAATACAAGATAAAACTATTTAAACAAGTCTCTTCATGTGTAGATCTAATTTTGTCCGTAAGTTAAATAAATGATATTTACTTATCAAATTATAGAAAAGTGTGTATTCATCTAATTTAAAAGTTAAAACTAGATTTTTCAATCTCAATCAGGGACGGAGCTAGCTTATTGATTGTGAATTCAATCGAACTTACTAGCTCTAACAACTTTTGTTTGATCAAGAGGTCGAGATATATATGAGCTCACAACTTATGTTTTTTGGTGTTCTTTTTTTTGGATGAGATGTACATCGAAAGAAATTAAAGCACAAGCTTTAGCTTGCTCATTGAATGTGTACAAGATTACACAATATAAATTTAGAACCCAAAAATTTTAAAAAAACTAAAATTCTGAACTCATAAACTCTAATTCCTGGCTTTTTCTACGTTAAATCTCATTATTTTTTACAAATAGCTTTTCTTAAGTTCATTCATTACTAATTTAGAGTTAAGCAACTACATATCAAGCTTAACACATCCGATTAGAGAATACATGATGAAACTAAAGGATTAATTAGTTGTCATTTGAATGAACGTAGAGTTCCTAATATCTAACTATATAAATAATTAAAATTCAGGAATGTAGGCCATCTTTCCTTCTAATTAAAGAATTAATTAATTATCGACACTTGTCACATAAAAACGAAACTCTTGTTTAACTTTTTAGGCCATCTTTTTTGCATCCTTACAAATCCCTCACTTTTAACGTTTCTAACACTGATTAGTTAAAAGATTATTCTTTCTTTTTTTCTCAAAAAAAAAAAAAGGTGAATTTAACTACATACATATTAGTATAATAAAGTGATCAAGACAGCAAGAAAACACTAGCTAATTAATAAAGTATAGAAATAACATAGGAAAAGAAAGTGAAATGTAGCAAAAAAAAGGGTCCGTAGTTAGAAGTACAATTAAGGGGGAATTAAGATGGAGGAAGGACAGGACATTATGATAACAATGGTTAAGGTTAAAAGAAGAATCCTTAAAGCTAGACAGCTTGCAAGCAATTAACGTTTGTAAGGTTCTTAAGAAATGTGTTTAAGATCTGTTCTAATTTTTTTCAATAATTAAAAGTGCTGGCTCTCTACAGCCAATTATGCAATGTATGTATTCAAACATCTAAAAAGTCCCTTTTTGACTCTTTTCCCCATCTTTAACCTTTAATTTAATTGCTAAGTATTATTTCATTAATTAGTTTTTCTTTCACTTTTCCCTTATTATAATCATACTTCTTATTTCCTCTACATTTCATATTGACAGGTATAGATTCACATCTATCTGGAAATGATATTACTTGTCAAAATAATGTAATATATGTATCTACTTAGTTAGGTATATTATACATAAATAATTATATAATGGCTAGAAAAGGTAAAATATATATATATATTAATTAAGGAGGACTTTGGTAAAAATATGTAAAAAGTCGTTTAAGTGTTGTTGTCTTGTGAAAGTTACATTTGCTTGAATGATTGAAATAAAATTTCTTCTACCTAACACTAAAAGGTATGTTTGTCTTCAATTTAGGAACTAGTTAATTGAACCTTGGATTATAATATTAAATTAGTGTATCCTTCTTTAATTTATTATATTCTCTGGAAAACGATTTCGACATGATTTGATTTGCTGAGGTGATTTGTATTTAGTAAGTTTAAGACAATTCTAGAATTTTCCGAAATTTAGTGCACATTTATTTTGCACACATTAGTAACTTGTATATATTCGTGTATTGTCAAATAGGCATAATAATATTTCATTATAAATGTTTGATTTTCTCTAAGAACAATATTTCACATGATAAGTTATTTTTCTACGACATCATTTAACCTATATTATTCGTCGTAGCGGCATACTTCGGGTGTGTTTGGTATGAAAAAAAATATTTTTTATGATTTATTTTTTTATGTTTAATTTGTGAGTAAAAGATATTTTAGAAAATGATTTTAAGTGCTAATTTGTGAATGAAAAATATTTTTGAGATATATCTTTTATTTTTACTAGAGTAGAAAATATTTTTTGAAATTGAAAAGATATATTTTTTTAAAAATATTTTTTTTTTGGGAGGGTGGGGGGGAGGGAGGCTGACGGAATGGAAAAATAAAAATTTAAAGTTGAATTTTTTGGGACTGGTGGGCGGGGGGTGGATGTTGGGGGGCGGGTTGAATTTTTTTTTTAAAAATAAACTTAGATTATTATTATTTTTTGCGGGGGAGGGGGGCTTGCATGGAGAGGACGGGTATGGATGAAAAATAAAAATTTCAAAAGTTGAAAAATATTTTTTATAATTAATTTCTTTTTTTTTTGGTGGGGGGAGGGGGAGAAGGCTAGGAGTGAAAAAATAAATACTTGAAGTTTAAAAAAAAATTAAAACAAATTGAAAATTTATTTTGGGAGGTGGAATAGGATTGCAGTGGGTTGGGTGGGGAGATCGAGGGGTAGGAGTGAAAAAAATTAAAATCTGAAATATAATTTTTAAAAATAAACTTAATTTTTTTTAGGGGAGGGGGCTGGTAGGTGGTGGAAGTCGAGGATAGAAGTGAAAAAAATAAAATTTTAAAATTGAAAATATTTTTTTAAAAATAAATTATTATTTTTTTGAGGGGTGGAGGAATGATCAGGTCGTGGAGGGCGGAGTGAAAATATAAAATTTAAATTTGAAAATATATACATCTCAGAATGATGCGCATAAATAATGACCATAACTTCACCAAGAAAGAGCATTGATAACATTAAATATCAATACATATGTAATAAAACCATACTAAAAAATCACAAAATTTTCAGTCAAATAACGCCTTTTTAAGTTTGAATATAGTATTGTTTTTAATCGTATACTTTCCACACAAGATTTTTTTTTCCGGTAGAAAACCACTCATCTAAATGATTGATAACAATTTATATAATGTAAAAGCAAATTTAAATATAATATAGCATTTATAATTGACAAGCAAGATCCATAAAGTGATAGGAAACTACGTAAAATGAATATAAGATTCTTTTAAATCATTTTTTTTCTTATTGTAATAATAAAAACACTTGGTAGAAAAAAAAGAAGAACTCAAAAATTGGGTTTTGGGAAGCAATAGTTAGGCAATATTGCAGTATGTATAAAGAAGATGCAACCTTTTCATATAGGTAAAGAAGACTAAATTTGTCGAACAAGTTTGAATTCAACTTCACTGCTTACCGGTAAAAACGCCCACATAAAGCAAGAATCATTTGACAGAGGAGGGAAAATTCGATAAAGAGGGGTCGTCAATGATTTGTTTGAAAAAGAAAGTGAAATGACCCGCCTGTCCATTCAGAGCGACGGAATCAAAATTTTCAAACAATTAAATGTCACGCTCAAAATTTATATTATTTGAATAATAATTAAAAATTCTAGCTCGGTCGATGTTTCGTAACAGGTGTGTAACCATGACCCACGTCTTCCCTAAATTAGGATGTTTGGGTATCAAAAAAGATAGAAACCATGGGTACCCCATTAAGGATGTTTGGTCAGCTTTTAGAAGCAGCGGTTCTGGTGACTTGTTCTTTTTTTGTCCGATTAGAGTTATTTTTAACAGCAAGCATTTTTCTCCCTAGTAATTTCACTTCATTTAATCACCACCATCAATCAAAATGAACGGTTAGATTAGCATCATAATATTGTACACCCTTAGATCATAACACCCC